TGAAGCTGCTTTGGGTGGCACCCATACCCTCCTACTGGATTTAGGTGCATGGCTTTTCCTACTGAATTTTTTAAAAATCAGGTTTAAACCATAATGGTTTATGGCACCCTCGCTTTTAACTGTTATTTCATAGGAGTTAGGAAAACTTTTACTTGATAGCAGGCAAATTTAGGAACATGCTGAATCCCCAATGCACCATCTCCATTTCTCCAGGTGCTGTTATTGATGATATGTACATAGTAATGATGACAGCCTTCTCCATCTGCGAAGTTCTGCTGCGAAATTTTAATTTTATGTTTGACTTCATGGCATGCTCTCATGGAAATGGTTGAGGAGAGAAGTTTTTCTTTTTTCTTTTTTTAAAATCTAAAGGGGCGCTTTTTCCTTTAAGGGAGAAGAAGTAGTTTTGTTTGGGGATTTTGGAAAGATCAGGTGGCTCAGTGAATTAGGCGAGTGAATAGAAATCAGGTGTGCGCGGTTCCAACTGGTTCTCCTGCTCTCTTAGGTGACCTTGGGCAGGTTTCTATCATGTACCTCATCTGTAAAGGAGGGGGACATAATCATGGTTCTGTAGTGGGGATGACAGAGAAATAGTTACATACAACAAACTGACAACTATGCAACCAGTGAAAATTGTGAAATTCTTAAGAGTCTGTTCTTTTAGATGCCATGTTATAGTGAAATAACTATAGAAAATGATGCATTTAAAATGGAACTATTGGGGAATATTAAAAGTGAAAATGTTTTCAGATAAAATAAACATTTGCAGGAGTCTTTGTTAATATTTCTGAAAAAAAAAAAACTACTTCCTTATGGAAAGGGACAATTTAATGCAGGGTATAAAGATGTAAAATTTTACAGTCAGATTTTTCCTTTGCAAAAATAGTATTTAAGAGCATACATATGGCTTAAGGTAGAACTTCTAGCAGAGCTTGCCCTTACTTTTCTTATGTGAAATTTCCATTATGTTTTGTAGAGAAGCCATTTGCATGAAAATTAAAGAGTTCTAATTTTTTTTTTTTTTTACTTTGTCCAGAGAAGGTCTCTGTTGTAATCCTCATTGTAAGGGAGACAAATTTCATTTTAATAAGCTAGGTTTCTATACCAGTATCCTATCGGCTAGTAATAAAAAACTGTCCCTTTACCCTGTGGCTGGTAAATTCTATGAGAATCATATTCACCAACTAGTACTTTTAGTATTCACTAGTAAGTTGCAATTGACTGAAATTCTCTTGAAACCATCATGATCATTATGCCAATTTCAAAAGGACAACAACTTGGGTTTCCTGGACAACATAGGAAATAAATTTCTCTAATCGGATACATTTCTTTACAGAGGAGTTGAGTTAAAATAATAGGGAGAACTCAGAGTAAAATATTTCAATAAAACTTATTTTTTGAAAAACATCTGATCTTTAAAAGTCTTTCCAGCGGAAGCCACACATGCAGATGCTTGATGTCCTCTTTTTCTGTTTGACTGTTGCCAACCTTTACTCTGTTTTCTTTGTGGAGAGGTGCATTAGGTTGATAGATGAGAATACCTGCAAAGCTAATTTGCATTTCAGCAAAGCCTGTTGCAAATTCTATAATGATAGCCCTGTCAATAAGGTAGTGAAAATGCAGAGCTATCTTATATTACTGTTAAGGTAGTTTAAGGATGGCTAACCAGGACTTGGAAAGTTGTGGCCAGCTGGGTGATGTTAGTTGATAAGGTGCTTGCTTTCAGTTTAAGATTGTCCTCTCCCGCCATCTCCCGTATAGGTTCTCTTCACATCTTCACGTAGATTCATAAACCTGAGCTGTGATTCCAACTTTCGGGCAAAAGTGATGAAAAAACGTTCCTTGGAATATCAGTAGGTGTTCTGTGCAGGAAGGGCGCAGTGGCCCCTAGGGAATGCTGGATTCAGAGGGAAACAGGTCTCTGCCCTGTGGAGCTGCCTGAGTTTTCGCATGCAGATTTCTACAGGGAACCTTTAAACAGGCAGTACCTGATCATCCTTCCCGAAAGAGAATTTAAACTGTGGAATTCTGGAGAGGGATCTGCATGGAGATTTCCCTTCAGACGCAGGGAAGATAGGCCCGTTTCCCGGGACCCGGGGAGAGGAAGAGGCTGTCCTGTGTGGCAGTGGGAAGGGGTGGGTCAGTGCAGGCCTATAGGAAAGGTGCTCAGGCAAGGGTGAGTTCCAGGCATCTGGGCAGAGGGTGGTGCAGTTTGCTGGACAGGGGCCGTGGGTGTAGGGACTGGGTTGAGGGGTGAGTGGTGATACACAGAAGGTGCTCAGTTTTGAACACGAATAGACAGCCTTGTTACTTGTGGTATTGAATGAATTTGGAGCCAACACATCTATATCTTAGATGTACATCCCTTCAAGTTTGGTATGGGGAGGGCAGAATTTTCTCAGGTAGAAGTTGGAAAAGCACATAATGTTTACTGGTCTTTTTCAACCTATGACTATGACTAAATGGTTTTTTAGAAAAGGAGAAAATGCCAGTGGTAGCCATTTCTATCCCATTATACTGGGAGGTGTTGTGAGGTGAGGTTTTTCTCAACATTTGCTTGGCTTTTATCCTTACTAATTTTTTTTTTTTTTGCCAGAGTTACCAGATAACCACCTCAGCCTCTGTAGTTTAATTTATTTTCCAGGGTTCTGTGATTAGGAATTTATAGAATAATGCTCCTCAAGTAAAAGGAGGCTACATAATAGATAGGTTTCAATTTATGGTCATAAATTAGTGAGTATTGATTATAATGGTTCACGTTTTTTGTTTTTTTGTTTGTTTTCACTATGCTATTAGCTTGGGATGCAGTGGTGAAATTTATAAATCTCCTGCCTTCTGGAACCTTACGTTCTACTGTAGAATACAGAAAAGTTAGAGGTAGTTATAATATGCAGACAATTTGGGCATTAAATGTCATTGCAGAGCCTTCTCATAGCTATTGCCAATTTATTTGGTAGAGTCATCATCATTTTTGCGTATCAGTTAATACAAGTTCTGTAACACAAGGACTTCCTAGCCTCTTTTTAATGAGAAGAAGGTGGGAAGGATGAAGATGTGAGTGGCAAAGCGGGAGAAAGGATGAGAGGCCGAAAGTCATGTTTGTGCCCAGATCTGCAGAAACAGCACGTTTAAGATCAGGAACTTAATTTGGGTCATAGTTTGTTTATACAACCAAAAGGATTTGAAAAATGAATGCATAATAATTTTAGGAGGTTTATATAGTGCAGTGTACAAATGAAATTTTTACTCATAATAAGTTAGTTTTCTTTATTGTGGTAGTTCTCAGTGGTGAGTGTGGGAGGTATTCTCTCCCTCCCCCCATTCTGGGAACATTTGGCAATGTCGAGACATTTTTGGTTGTCACCACCGGGGACAATTGGGACCGCTACTGGCATCTAGTGGGAAAGGGTCAGGGATGTGATAAACATCTTATAGTGCATGGGACAGACCTCCACAACAAAGAATTATCAGGCCCAAAAGATCAGCGGTGCCAAGTTGAGATAACCTTATGGAAAGAGGGACGTGGGATCAAATTTCAGTTCTGCCACTTAGCTGTGTGCCCCATGCCTCAGTTTCCCCACTTGTATCATTTGGGTAATACTTTTACCAATCTGAAAGGATTGTTTATATTTATAAGGGTAAATGAGTTAATGTTTGTGAAGGGCTTATAATATCACATTGAATTATATGATGCATAAGAATTATATAAATATAGCCCGTTACAATAATTATGTCAGTGAAACAGAGAGAGAGCCAATGGATGTGATTGTATATCTACAGAGGATGGAGACAGTGCCTATTTTCTTTATCACCATAGAGTCAGTGACTGGCTGTAGGCCCACGATGTAGCACACCCTGGGTGTTTGTTGAATGGATGACCACGTAAGTTGTCAGGACCCACCTTGAACTTCCATTTAGAGTGGAGACTGAAACTGTCTGCTGAGAGTCTTTGTAGCAAGAGGAACACCATTAGGTGAGGGTGCCCATAACAGTCCTCACCAGGACTGAAACACAGAGAAGAGCTCTGCCATTCCCGACATAGCCTCTCTGAGCTTTGGACCATCTTAATTAATTAATCTGGATAGATGAATCTTTACTTTTTAGACTTGACATTCATTTATCTTGATCACAATCAATCTTACTGTTTTTTTTTTTTCCTGTGCTAATTTACTCCATAACTTTATATTGGGAAATGGTAGCATTGATTACCTTTTTCTTATTATTTTTAATAAAGCCATGTTTTAGATATGGAAAGTATCTTCCATATACCCCAAAGATTCAAAAGGCTTTGGAGTTAGAATATTTCATTTTAAACCTGCCTTTGTCACTTACATCTTTGACCTTGGGCAAGCCACCTACCTCACTGCGTCCTCAGTTTCCTCTTTGTTTACCGCATGGTCCCCAGGATTACTTTAAATATTAAATAACTTAACATTTGTAAATATTCTTTGTAAACTCTAGGGGCTGTATTATAGAAATGTGTTACTTTTATTGGATAAAAATAGTTTCTTATAATTGCTTCTTATAGTCTGGCTTCTGGACAAGTTATAGTCAGTGCTCTGTTGTATCAGCACCTAGACAGGTAACAATTTTAATACAAGTGTTGCTTATAATAAGTAGAATATGCACTTATAGCTTAGTGCAGTGATTTTCAACCTTTTTCATCTCCTGGCACACATACTAATTACTAAAATTCTGTGACACATCCAAAATCATGTTATATTTTTTTCTATCTGATAAAATATATATATGTATAATTTTGATTTATTCACATTGGACGGCTGTTGTTGTGTTGGCTGTTGCTATATTTTCACTTGACGATCAAACAGAAAAAAGTCAGTGCCCCTGACAAAATAGTCAGGCATTGCACGTTTTAAAAAATCTTGCAGCACACCCGTTGAAAATTGCTGGCTTAGTAAGTGGAATTTAAGAATAATGATGGAGTGATGTTATAAATGACTCTAATTCAATTTTTTTTAATATAAATTTATTTATTAGCTATGGAGACCAAAGGCTACCACAGTCTCCCCGAAGGTCTAGATATGGAAAGACGGTGGGGTCAAGTTTCTCAGGCCGTGGACCGTTCATCCCTGGGGCCTACGGAGAGGACCGATGAGAGCAACTACATGGAGATTGTCAACGTAAGCTGTGTTTCCGGTGCTATTCCAAACAACAGTACTCAAGGAGGCAGCCACGAAAAACCCGAACTGCTCCCCTGCCTTCAGCAAGACAGCCATCGGTCCGGGATTTTAACATCTGAAATTAAAACCGAGCTGGAATCTAAGGAACTTTCCGTCACTGTAGCCGAGTCCATGGGCCTCTACATGGATTCCGTCAGAGATGCCGAGTACCCCTATGACCCGCAGAACCAGCAAGGAAGCGTGAGTCCGGCAAAGATCTACCAGAACGTAGAACAGCTGGTGAAATTTTACAAAGAAAACGGCCATTGTCCTTCCGCCGCCGTGGGGATGAGCAGGCCCTTGCGGCCGCTCATGGCTGACTCGGGGAGCTCGGTGAATGGCGGGGTCATGCGCACGGTTGTCAAAAGCCCCCTCTTGTGTCATGAGAAGAGCTCGTCTGTTTGCAGCCCTCTGACCATGGCATCCTCAGCGTGCAGCCCCGCTGGCCTCAGCTCCGTGTCCTCCACCTCGGCCAGCTTCGGCAACTTCACAGTGCACAGCCCCATCACCCAGGGGACCCCTCTGACCTGCTCCCCGAATATCGAGACCCGAGGCTCCAGGTCGCACAGCCCGGCGCATGCCAGCAACGTGGGCTCGCCCCTCTCCAGCCCGTTAAGTAGCAGGAAATCCCCCGTGTCCAGCCCTCCGAGTCACTGCAGCGTGAAATCTCCCGTCTCCAGCCCCAACGTCCCTTTGCGATCTGCAGTGTCCAGCCCGGCCAACGTCCACAACTCCAGGTGCTCCGTGTCCAGCCCTTCCAACACCAATAACAGATCCACGCTCTCCAGCCCCACGGCTAGTACCGTGGGCTCCATCTGCAGCCCCGGGAGCAACGCCTTCAGCTACACGGCGTCGGGCACCCCCCTGGGGCCCGGGGCGGCCCGGGATGCCGTTTCCAGTCCGGACACCCAAGAGAAAAGTGCTCACGAGGCCTCCTTCCCCAAGACGGAGGAAGTGGAGAACGCCACCTCCAACGGTGTGACCGGCCAGCTGCACATCGTCCCGTACATAAAGCCGGAGCCAGATGGGGTTTTCAGCAGCTCCTGTCTGCGAGGACACAGCAAGACAACGCCCGCCTCCCCGTTCTCAGTACCCATCAAGCAGGAGTCGGCCAAGCATTCGTGTTCGGGCACCTCTTTCAAAGGGAATCCACCCGTGAACCCGTTTCCCTTCATGGATAGCTCCTACTTTTCCTTCATGGATGATAAAGACTATTACTCTCTATCAGGAATCTTAGGGCCGCCCGTGCCCGGCTTCGACGGCGGCTGCGAAGGCAGCGGCTTCCCCGTGGGCATCAAGCAGGAGCCGGACGACGGGAGCTACTACCCCGAGGCCAGCATCCCGTCCTCTGCCATCGTCGGTGTGAATTCGGGTGGACAGTCCTTTCACTACAGGATTGGTGCTCAAGGTACCATCTCTCTATCGCGGGCGGCCAGAGACCAATCTTTCCAACACCTGAGCTCCTTTCCTCCTGTCAGCACCTTAGTGGAGTCGTGGAAATCCCACAGTGACCTGGCCTCTCGGAGAAGCGACGGCTACCCGGTCCTAGAGTACATTCCAGAAAATGTATCCAAGTAAGTTGGCTTTTTTTTTTTTCTTCCTTGTTGAAAATCATGGCTTTGATAACATTTGAGAGGCTAGCATTTCATTTACAGTTGACAAATGAAGCACGTTTCAGTTTATTGGTTTAGTTATATTTTTAGGATGGTCATGTAGTGTCGTCATTCCCCCCCCCCCCCACCACCTGCTGCTTGTTGGTAGAATGTTACTGCTTTTTAAAAATGGAGAAACAAAAAGTTCTTAAAATCTCTGAGAAAACAGATGTGTTGATTTTGAAGGAGTGTGGATAGGTGTTTGCCACGTTGCCTGTTGTCGGTCTTTGGAAAAAGTTTGTTTTCTGCTGACTGTTACTAGGTTTACTTTAGCAAACTAGTGCCAGGTGTGTGTGTGTGTGTGTGTGTGTGTATATATATATATATATATATATATATATATATTCTTTAGCTGTATACTGGTTCACTAAAATTGCTCTAAATTCATTTCTTTGTGGTTTTAGACTTCTTTCTGTCTTTTTTTCTTTTCTTTATTAATCACTTCACTGGCTGTAAAAAATGAAATTGAACCTCAAATCTGTTATCCTCGAGCTCCCCCCTCTCCTTGTCCTTTTCTGGTTAGGTTAATTGTATGTAAGTTGTGGTTTTCAATATAAATAAACTATTTCCTTAACATTTGAGAGCTTTTCAAGACTCAGCACAGCTAAAATTACTAAGTGGACAGTCTTGCTTTCTTACTCATATTGGAAGAGAACTATGTTACTGCAGTTTTGAATTGGTATATTTATAACAAGATCTGCAAGAAGACATACATAACTTACTGTAAAATATCTCTTGGCTTTCCTCATTGCAGATAGCATACTGTATATATTTAAAAAAAAAACAAAGAAGAGGTTGTAGATATGACGAAAGGGTGGTTCTAAGTTATATAATGAATGCTTGCATTGGACTTTGCTTCAGTACTATTTTTATTACACGGTTGTAATAAATGATTCCTTTATTGGACATATAAAGAACAGATTTATTTGATATAGATCGTTCCTTTGGCGTCTAGGAATATATGGACATTTTCCTAAACAATTAATTTTGTGGGTAATATGACTAGGACATAGGTTATATGTATATTCCTATGTCTCTGTCCTTCTGTTTTGTTTTTGTGTTTTTCTAAACCAAGAGCAAAAAAAAAAACTTTAATTTGTGCATTCTTTTTCTCATCATTGTCTAAAACCTGACTCCTCTTGCTTTTATGGGAGCAAATATTCCATAAAAGATACATTCTTACATTTTAATGCTGCCTCTCTCTCTCTTAAATTCAAATTTTAACAGGGCACAGTAGATAGCCTAGCTTTCATTAGAACCAAACTCAGCCCGTGCTCTGATTTACTTAATGAAATTTGGTGCATAATGTAGATACTTAGGTAAGCGATGTTACTTTCAGTGAGTTAGTCTGAGGGGATGCAGCCTGGTAGTTAAGAGCAGGGCTGCCCTGGTTGAAATCCCAGCTGTGCCTCTTAATTGCCTCATGTTCTTGTGCACCTCCCTTTCCCTCTCTGGGTTGTGGTTTTTGTATCTGAAAAAAGGAAATTAAATAGATTTAATTTATGAGAAGCCCTTTGAATATCGCCTGATTTGTAAGCATACCTTCTATACATTTTAGCTATGACTGGTAATTTAATTAAATCTAAACTGTTTTCACATTCTTTCCTTTTTTTTTTAGTTTTCTTTTTCTTCCTGATAATGGAATTCAACAAACATTTTTAAAGAGTATTATGTACATAGTTAAAGATTATTTATTGATAATTCTTATGAGTAAGTTCTACTCTGATTAAAAAATTTATGATTAGGCACCAGACATTGTCTACTGCATTTCTATTTATGCTTTTTTGTTGACTCATGAAGCACCTCCTGATTACCTAGCCTGAAATATATTACTGTGAATCAGTGACCTTGAACTTACCCTGCATTTGTGGGCATGGGAGGTGTTATCTGGTGTCGGGTTGAATATTCTAAAATTCTGTATGTGTTAGTGTAGTCCAGTGGTCTGCAAACTCATTAGTCAACAGAGCCAAATATCAACAGTACAACGATTTAAATTTTTTTTGAGAGCCAAATTTTTTAAACTTCTTCTAATGCCACTTCAAAATAGACTCGCCCAGGCCGTGGTATTTTGTAGAAGAGCCACACTCAAGGGGCCAAAGAGCCACATGTGGCTTGCAAGCTGCAGTTTGCCGACCACGGGTAAAGCCAGAGGGTATTCATTTATATATATGCTGGTATTGTGTGCTAGTTTTCCAAAAATATTAATATCAAAGCTCTAATGTTATTTGAAGTCTCTCAGAGATGACTAGTTATAGTTTTTTTCCTGGTGAATATTATCCAAATCTATTTGTTTTGATCATTCTTAGCCTAAAGGCTCAAAGATCAGAGGAAATTTAGGTCTTTTTCTAGAATTTAGTCTATGTTATAATATTTAATTTAACCTCATCTAAGCTTCATTATTTTGTGCCTTTTGGACCAAAAATCCAATAGTTTTGCCCATTTCTTAATATATAATGATGATACCCCATGTTAGAGAATGTTGAATAAATTAATAAATTAAAGATTATAAAGGATCAAGGCAGTGTGGAACTGCTGTAGGTTTTATAGCATTCTTTATCTTTTAGTTGAATTCTATTAAACTGTTTTCTAGTAGATCTCAAAATACAGTTTGAGGTTCCTGAGACCTCAGGAGTTTCATGAGGTCAGAAGTTATGCATTGGTAAAAGACCCATTGGAAATGGAAGATAGACCAATGAATTTTAATGGAATAGTGTAAGAAAAGTTCAGGGATATCTATGCTTTCAGATTTCACATTGCAACTCACTTTTAAGAAATTACTTACTGTCAATTTTCAATGTAGAGTCAAAGAATAATATCTGCACTAATCTGAAAAGACCATTAAAAAAGACCTTTTTCCAACAACATATCTGTGTTGGACCAGAGTTTATTTATATATTTGTTCCAAATCATCACATCACCACATACAATGTATCTGTTAACATACAATGACTTATTTTCAAATGATTTAAAATAAACATTAGCTGTAATTTCTAATCATGATAAATGAATATAATTTATAGGAACCAAAGCTCTTTGATATCCTCAATATATTTTAGGAGGGGAAATGCGTCTTGAGTTCCAAAAGTTGAAAATCCCTGGTCTCTGCTGTTGTGTACACCCAGTGATAGTTAACAAAAAAGAAAGATATTATTTTATTTGTGTTCACCTTATTGGCTGTTATGCCAAGGAAGGAGTGTCCTATTCAAATAAGAAAAATGATTCTAATCCAGATTAAATTTTCAAGCTGACAAAAAAATGAGTAATGGCTGAGAAGTGTGTGTTGCACTTTGCAGGCTCTGGGCATTCTGTGAGAGTGGTGACAAAAGTCATCTGTCTGTTAATAATTTCCAGCAAATGGATGTCTGAGTGCCACACTGTAAAGTAAATTATGGCAAAAGCTGAATGTAAAGCTCATGGTGGACACTGGACCTCGCTGTGTCATGCAGATTGGCATTCCCCTGCCAGCTTCGACACGGCAAAACTAACCTTGAGTGAGTCATGAGGTCTCCTAGCCTCAGTTTCTTTATTTTAAAGAGAATGACTTGAACTAGATGCTCTCTAAGGGTCTGCATCCCATAAAACATTTGCTAATATAGTTTCAAGTATGTTTTAATTACAAATCTAGCTCTGCAGTTTCCAGGGTATTCCAGATAGAAAAGTCATTTACCATTTAAAACTAAAAGCCAGTAGGCTTGACCTATCATTTTACTTTGAAAAGCAGGATTTTAAAAATCAGATCATCCTTTTTTTTTTCCCCCCAAAATTTGACACTTACTATGAATTTCTTATCCTTTTAATTTACACCATTCCTTTTGGAAACAGGTTTTTCTGTTGACATAATATTGGGTGTTTTTGGTGATGGGGTAGTCACTTTGATAGCATCATAATGCAGTGCTAACATAGACTTAGACTTTTGAATATAAAGTTCACTATTTCAAAGGGCATATTTCAGTAGGTTTCAAGACAAGTAGTCAGGTATTTATCTTAAAATATACTGCATTTTTTCATGATATAATGAAACAATTTAGTAAATAACCTACAATTATTTTTTATTTTCAAATGTCCCTAGTTTTTTATGAAATTCCCTTTCTATCGATATAATAAACCCAAACCTTCAGAATTTAAGAAGCTTGTTACAGAGATTGCCATGTCTCTTAGTAAACGTTCTAAGTAAGCCCTTGAGCTGTAACTATCTCTTTGTAATGAAAAGAATGAAAGGTTGATGGGTTTGGGGTGGAGGGAGAGATTGATTGATTATTCCTGCCTACTATAACAAATAAATCTACTAAGGATTACTTAGGTCATTTGGAAATGAAAAGATGGAACTGTCCTTTTCTTTTTATTTGTCTCATAATATTTTGATTCCGAAGTTGCTAGTATACCTAGAATTCCTCCAGGTTAGTATTCTAAATATTATTAGAAACGATCTTCAAATGAGACTTGCTTCTCCTGATGATTCATTTACTTTTATTCATCTGTGGTATTTCTGGTAAGAGTGGTGATACTTTTATTTAAAATCAACAACAAACTTTAGTGTTTTTTAATCCATAAACCACTCTGTATAATGCGCTTTTATGCATTTTGCTTTTAACATCACAAGTATCCTAGGTTTATATGTTAGTATATCCACCTTTTGTGATCTAAACATTTTGAACTGTTTACATTGTACCTTAAAAAGTTGATAAAAGTCATGGTTTCAGTTAAACTAACTCAAAAGTATTCAACTTCAGGCAGTTTTCATCCTGGTCACACACTGAAAGAGGACCTGGATATTTACTTTTTATTGATTTGATGCCTTTTGCAATATCGAAGTCCTGGGTGTGTCTGACCTTTTCTATTTTTGTTATGTTTAGAGTAATAGCAGATGTCCTATTGATCACCGTGATTTAGGAGTAACACTTCACTTCCCCTAATGCTTTGAT